CCGGTATGACTATGTACTTTTGTATAAAAATTATGATCATTAGCAATGACTTTCAATGAAATGGCGACTATTAGAGAGAGGAAAAAACTCAATCTAATTTTCACAGAATTTTCCGAAACTGTGAATAATTTTTTCTTTATAGATCCATTGATATAAATTATGTAATTGTCTAAAAATTATCGTTATTAACGACGTTCAATGGAATCAGAACAATTATAGACATATCGGAAAAAAAGCCAAATCAATTAAATTAATGCAGTATCATTATATTATAGATCATTAAACTAATTTGTCATTTTGTTTTCGTTGGGCGATTTATAATGATAATGATACCTATCTCTTCTCTGTAGATTTTTAATTTTCAACAATCTGTTTACGACTTTTATCGAATTGGTTTTTTAATTATTGTAATTCAAAATTAGACATTGTTATTATTCGAGTAATGTATTTACTTACGCAAGTGTATTCGCAAAAATTCTATGGAATTTGTAATGTCATCATGCTGATGTTTAAAACAGAGGACTTCGTCATTATATTTTTTCATCTATTCACGAGGTACAGGGTTGCGAAGTTCGATGTACCAGGTGATTCGATAGGAGTGACAAGATATAGCATATCTCAGGATTGATAATGTTGCTAACAGAAGGTCTGATTTGAGTAGGGAAGGTTGAGTGAATGAAATAAATATTCATCAATGCCATTCAGGTACTCACCGCCCTTGCTAAGAAGCGTGTTTTAGTGTCTGAGATATAGTACCTCGTCACCCTTATCGAATCACCTGGTACAATGTTTCAGAGGAATCACATGTGATATATCGCCTTCGTGATTTGATGACGAATCAGGGAGGCAAATAAGGTTTTTCTACGGCTATAACACAAGATTGCTCTTGTATCAATGTGTTCGATACATCAATGAGGTACTTTGTATGTCATCAATTTTATTTCCGTATCTGATATCACAATGACTCCATTGTGTTATTATTAAAAACAAACTAATCCCCCATGGAATGTCGAATTTCAAGCAATGGCAGCTCTGTCTAATAGATTAGCATTACTTGATAGGAAATCAGATGGCTACAAGACGAAGAAATCGAAAATGCCGCTGTTATCTATTATAGCCGTAGAAAAAGTATAGTGTATAACTTGTATGGAATGCTAATTTCCTACTCGAATGATTGCAGCATTCGCCTAAATGGCTCATGCTGCAAACTTTATTCTCGTAGGGAATCCCTAACATTCCGTGCTCGTTGAACAATATACTATTTCCAAGGTCTCAGTCACTGAGATAATGAATATTGGACATCTTCTCTCTGTAAGGGGTTATTGATTTATCGAATTTTCTGGAATACTGTTCTGTGTTGACGAAACACATAACATCCAATTATGCTCAGAACAACCGTGTTTGAATAAGTTGACTTTTATTACAATTTCTCATTTCTTTCAAATGCACATATAATTATTTATTTTTCTTGTCTGTGAGTTGAATGGCTACCTGTAGTTTTCATTCTACAACTACGAAAGGAATATATACAGGGTGTCAATCCATTAACCATATATTCCTTGAACAAACATAATATGAGTTTCTAAATACCATTTTTCATTTTAGCCCTTCTTATTCGATATACAGGGTGTCAAAGTTGAAAATTAAAAACTGTTTTTTTCTAATTACTCGCGTAATTAATAAGATATTATTCTCAAAATTGGTATATTACTTCAGCACAAAGAGTTACATCGTGTGAGGAAAACAAAACAGAAAATAACTGTCAAATATTCAAAATAGTGGGGGTCAAGTACACACTTACCCCCATTTTTTTTTGTACGTGCGCTAATAACTTCCTATCTATTTTTCTTGAAGTGTTCAATCATTTTCGAGTATTTTTTGATTTTTGTAAAATTCCGATAAAATTATTTGTTTTTAAGATAATTAGAAAAGTACTGGTTATTGTTTGATGCCTCGCGGCTTACGGTAATCTCATAATGTTCACATACTCCTATTTATTTCGTCGAAATTGGAAGAGGGCGTATCGTATAACGTACGGAAAGGTAAATATGGAAATACCGGGTGCTCAGAGCGAATGTATTAAAATAATTTTTACACTTTTTTTTTTGTAAAAATTATTTTAGTACATTTGCTCTGAACACCCGGTATTTCCATATTTACCTTTTCGTACGTAAAAAGATACGCCCTCTTCCAATTTCGACGAAATAAATAGGAGTATGTGAACATTATGAGATTACCGTAAGCCGCATAGGCATCAAACAATAACCAGTACTTTTCGAATTATCTTAAAAACAAATGATTTAATCGAAATTTCACAAGAAACAAAAAATACTCAAAAATGATTGAACACTTGAAGATAAATAGATAGGAAGTCATTAGCGCACCTACAAAAAAAATATGGGGGTAAGTTGTACTTGACCCCCAGTATTTTGAATATTTGACAGTTATTTTCTGTTATGTTGTCCTCACACGATGTAACTCTTTGTACTGAAGTAATGTACCAATTTTGAGATTAATATCTTATCAAATACGCGAGTAATTAGAAAAAAACAGTTTTCAATTTCCAACTTTGACACCCTGTATATCGAATATGAAGGGCTAAAATGAAAAATGGTATTTAGAAACTCATATTGTTTTTGTTCAAGGAATATGTGGTTGATGGATTGACTTCCTTTTAGCGGACACCCTGTATATATATATACTCTGTAGAAAGTAAATAATTATTTTTCTCAATCATCTATTATCGAATATGACATTGCGAAAACATTCGGCTAAAACAATATTGTTAATGTAAAAACTTCACAAAACGATAAGATTTTCACTGAACTTCATTGTACCAGTATTCCACCTGATGAAGCTACTGTATAAGCGAAACATGTCGTGTGAATGAGAATTTCAAGTAACGGCCGAGTCAATTCAAAATATTGTTAATGTCTTTTTGTAATCCCATACTATTTTTTTGTAACGGTATTTAGATTACAATTGAAAAGTTAATGTTAACAGCATCCGTCCGTTAAGATTGTATAACGGCCGGTGGCCGTTATAATATGATTGTGATATTGTTAAGCTGTTTCATGACAACACGGTGTTGGGATTTTTCTGTACTATTACGAGGTGCGTAGTTTGTTCTTCTCTCATAATCAAAATGTAATCTGTCAGAGGGATACGAGAAGTATTAAACGCTCTGGATTACATTATACAACCTCATCCGTTATTTGCTACATATCGGCCTTGTAAACGTTGATAACTACCTTTATCTCCTATGCGTAGAAAATATGGAAAAAGCACGCTGGAAAAAGTTTCCACAACCATGCCAACAGTAGTAGTATAGCAACCCGAATTCAATGAATTACAAATATAGTGTATTTACACATCAACTGGTCATTGATCTTACGAGTATTTTCTTCATCTCATATGTGTTCTGTGTAGGCTTTGTTACTGACTCTTAACGCCACCTTGGGAGCAGCTCTGTTAATTTGAACGCGATGAGAAAGTTGATATCTTCATGGTATCTGAAAAACTAAAAATAAAAATGAGGAAACAGGAAAATGTGGAATATTACGTTTTCTTATTTTCCCCCTTACCTATTTTCATCACTACAGTCAATAAAATATTAAATTCGACATGGTACTCACTATACCGGGTGTTCCTCAAAAGTGACTCACCCGAAGGCTCACCACTATGACTTTTTCGTTTCTGCAGATAAAAAAATAAAATTTGGTGTGTGATTATAGTACATGGATATGCATAATTTTATGTAATTAATTGATTTCTGTCACTTCTGGTTCGACCTGAAATGGTCCCATCATTTTCTCATTTCAAATGGGACACCCGATATATTGATTTAGTTCGATAGAGAATCACATTGTAAGTACAATGACAAATTTTTAAGGGCCATGAATGAGTTAAAACAGTTGATTTTGATCAAGTTGCCAAGGAAAAATAGTTTCGATGGAGTTTTACTTTCCATTTGTTTCACAGGTTTATTCAAAATTTACAATATCGTCATCATGATGTTAACTCAATTTTTTCAAATAGAACAAGGGTGAATCATTACCAAATTATCTGAAAAGGAAATTTACGAGCACGTTGATATCTGTTGATACCATATAGTCGATATTTTGAATCAATATCCAGAATCATAATCTGCCTAAACACTCTGATAGTTCATTGTGATGGCCATCAAGCGTTATCGTTATTAATTAGAAAAAAAGAAGGCTTTGAAAATATAAAACAATGAAGATTGGCATAAGCGCCACCAAAGATTCTTTCAAAATAATTCTGCTTGTCATGATTTCAAAAGCTAGGTTCCGTTTTGTCACTGGACATCTTGAGCAGACATTTTTCGATGTCATAATGACAAAATCTTAGCGGTTTATGGGATTTTTCATTCGCGGTCGCCAACTCCTGGTATAGATTGAAAGTTAGACATCCCAATTATTCTGGTTTTATATGACAAATCTTGACAAAATAAAATGTTTGCCCCTCAGCAACCTGTCAAATGACGTAATTCGGGAATGATTAATTCCCTTAGTTTTCAATGTCATCGCAACCTCAATTAATGACCTTGACAACCGCGAATCCATGAGTCAAATTGTCAACAATACATATCTCTTTGTTCAGAGGGAATTGAACTAATCTATGTACAAGAAAGCTTAAACTTGCCATTTTGTTTGAAAACATTGAGTGGAGTCAACAGTAAAGTAATATATACGTATATACGAGTCGATGCATAGATTTCGGGAGGATATAATTCAATGTTCTGCGTGGCATTAGCCAGGAAAGTATAGTTGTTTTTCTCCCGAAATCTACCATTGTTGTTCATTTTATGAACATTGTGTGGAAATGACTTTGAGCTTTTTCTATTTATATAGTAAAGTAATGTACCTAAGTGTGCTTAGTTTATCTTCTGAAAACATCAAAAAATTTTAAGTTGTTCTCAAATGAACCGTCAATACTTTTTTCTCCAAATGCGTTAATATCGATCAATATTTTTTTAGTTTTTCTTCGTGCTGCGGAAGAAGAACGACCACATCTCGACGCTGCACGTCATCCACCACGGCATCATGCCCATGTCTGTGTGGTTCGGGGTGAAATTCTCCCCCGGCGGCCACTCCACCTTCTTCGGCTTCCTCAACACCTTCGTGCACATCATCATGTACTCGTACTACTTCCTGGCAGCGCTCGGACCGCAGTACCAGAAGTACCTCTGGTGGAAGAAGTACCTCACGGCGATCCAGATGGTAAGAACAACTCTACAGAAAAAAGTTCAATGTATCTGTTATATTTTAATGTACAGTTGTATTCAATGAGAAAGTGTTGATAGGTAGATAGTCCAAGAGCCGGCTGCAAATTTCGACGTTCATCTAATAACGAAATATAAATATATGTCCCGAAGGCATGTGTACATACATTGTATTTTATCGCATGTCTGCCAATCACTATCCTGAGAAGAATGATTGAAGAATCGTACTTTCCTGTGCGATAATTTGCACTGAGTTACGCGATTTGTTAACGAGATGAGAATTATGTCATCCGATACCAATTTTATGGTAAATCTCAAAAACCTACTTGTGCCACCTTTCAATCCCTATAATGTTCAGAGAACATCGTGCGTTCCTAGGGATAGAGACAGGAGGTAGGTATTGGAATTTTTTTGAACTTCTGGAGATGTTGTTGGGAATACTTCCTCATCAGGCAATGAATTCCAGTGCCTAGCCGTTCCCCTTACTACACAGAGATGTCCTAGGGATGTCCTAGGTACGTCCCTTTTTTGTCCCGCGGTACAAGGACATGAATGGGGCATCCAGGGGATGTCCCGCAGTGGTTGTCCAGAGGACATCCCGCCCGGTACATCTCTAGGTTATCCTATTCGTGTCCCTGGAATATCTGATATCCATTCACATCAGAGTCATTAAATTTGATCAGAATATTGATTCGAATTTTCTTGAAAATGTTTGTTTTTCTTCCGCGGAAAATAATTATAATGGAAATGAAGAATATATTCTAAGAACTCATTAAAAAATTATCATTTTTTGCAAACAGAAATCGTAAATGCATAATGCCCCTCATTTTTAAACACCCAAGAATGATAATAATTATACCCAAAGTTGTATTCATTCAAGTTTCTGTAGTTGAGTTCTGTTGATAAATCTGTTTAGTACATAAATCTTCAGAAGGTATATTGTTGTTCTAAAATTGTTCTATCCGTCATTCGGTTGCCCCCTTACGAGCAACCCTCAGAAGTCTTCGAAAGTCTTGTGCGAGCAAGGAATGACGGGGGCCTTACCTTTCAACGTGTGATCCCAAACACTTTCTTAGGCCATCAGAAAAAGTCTGCGTTCGTGGGACTCGAACCCACGATCGATACCTCGACGTGAATCGATATTGAAGCATCGAAGCACTGAGGTACGCCGGCCAAAGGAGTAAGCTGCGTGCCTGATAAGCTAAAGGTCCCGGATTCAATCCCTACTCGACCTACATTTCTCTTCTTTCGTCGAAGGGATGTCCTTGGGACGTCCTAGGGATATCCTTTCTTCGTACTTGGTACATCCCAGGGACGAACCAGAAGGACATCCCTTGGATGCCTTCTTTGCCGGCCAGCGGATGTCCCTGGGACGTCCCTAGTATGTACTTTGTCCCGACAATGGATGAAGGAGTTTTGATAAAATGCTGTTCTACATCTTTCGAGGTTGACATACTTTCGTCATGTGATAACGAGTTGAAACAAAAGACAAATGAAAGGGGATAATGTATCCTTTGCGAATCAAACGTGCCGCGACTCAAACTGATCCAAGTTAGTGGCAGAGCGTCAATACTTTCCAGAACACATCTGGATTGACTTGAGTGAGCTCTCATTAGGCTCCACTGGGTTTTCCCTGGTGTTTTCACTGGTTGAATTGTTGCATTTTTGATTATCCAGATTACTGAGTTAGTAAGTCTCATTAGACCAGTACAATAATTGCTCCTTTGTATGTCACGTCAAATGTGAACATCAAATTCGCTTTCATTATTCCAGTATTTTTGGTCACTTATCAAGTTCACTTCAACACGACAGCCATAATGGCTGTTTGAGAAAATGTAATCTGCATGTTATCCCATTTTGGGAAACAAATTTCAATCTGTTCGTACCGTAATTAGCCATAATGTTAATATTACTCAACCGAACCAAAGATATTTTCATTGATGATTTCCTTGTCAACCTGACGAGAAAGTAACCTCACGTTTACTCATTTTCAAATTTGCATTTTATCAAAAAACAAGTTTTTTGAATATTTTCAATTTCCCCTGAGGCCTTTTTCAATAACTAAAAGCTGATTACTCACTTACAGGTACACACTGATGATGACTGTTAGTCGAGAGCACTCCGCTGTGAGAAACATTTGAATTAAATTTATTTTGCACGAAATACAACTTTTTATACTATTTTTAAATATGTTTCGGGCATATATGCTGATCATATATCCCTTTCGTTAAAGAATCCTTCTTATTTCACTGAAACCGAGTTTGCTTTTGTTTTTCACCTTCTCATTTTTTTTTTCAGATTCAGTTCGTGCTAGTCATGGTCCATGCTTTTCAGTTGCTCTTCATCGAATGCAGCTACTCCAAACTATTCGTATGGTGGATCGGCATGCATGCAGTCATGTTCTATTTCCTCTTCTCCAGATTCTACAAAGAGACTTACAATGAGAAGAAGAGCAAACGGAAAGCCAAAGTAGAGGTTAGTACACATGAAAATAGTTCATAATACGCACAAAAAACTGAAGAAATTAATTATAGTCCAGTAGGTACGTGGAAGTTTTTGAATGCAAAGGTGGGTTAGTAGCGATTTTTTAGTATGTTGTTAGGTTTGGGGCCCTTGTGAACAACCGAATTAAAAATTTTTTTTTTTTTTTTCAAATAGTGCAACTTCACGGAGCCGTAACTCTTAACATATGTGCCCTATGAGAATTTATTACATAAATGTAGGAAATGTTGCCTTCTTCAACTTTGTGTTGAACATCTTTTGTCGTGAAAGCCACAGTTTTTGAGCAATTATCAAAAAACAAATGCTTGTACATAAATTTCAAAATGGCGGTTCGAGCGCATGCACCTCGTGGTCGAAAACTTGGATTTATCATTAGTGCTCCAAGCTTAACAACATACTAAGAAATCGCTACTACCCCACCTTTTACATTCAAACACCCCTATTCGATATACCCACGTACTGGACTATTGAAATTTCGATGAAAGATGCATTTTGAGACATTTAATGATCTCGTTTTATATTTTGGGATTCTGGTACAGAAATTGCCTCATTATAAGATTTTGGCACATCCATCGCTTAATTGCAATATTCGTCATCATATCGAGTTGGGGGATTGTGTTTTTGAGCCTACGACTGATGACAACGAGGGTTCGGTTCCGAGAATTTCTCCATTTGAAATATCTGAAGATTCTGGACGGCTCTCTTCGTTGCTTCTCATATCTGTGTGTTTTTTTTTTGAATCAAGTGACATGATTCCTTTTTTGACTTGAAATATCTTGTTTTCACTGTTATAGAGTAATATTGATACAATCTTCCTATTTTCTATTCATTTGGATACTACCCATGAAACTGCAATTCTATTTTTCCATGAAGTGATATCGTTTCCACCTTTCATGTTTTTTTCAATTTTTTTTTTAATTTATTCATTTTTTATTATCATAGAAGCAGGAAACATTTCAATTGCAGCAAACAGAATATCATAAAGTGTTACTTTCTGTATTGCGCCAGTGGATACTAATAATTTATTAAAAAAAATTGACCCATGTTCTTCAACATAAAAGTCGGTTTTTCTCGAAAACGGTCTACTTTAGAGCTTGTAACCACGACTATCTTTTTTGTGTAGAAAACATTGGCAGTTCAAATGGGTGGCTCGAAACTGTCCTTTTTCCAGTGGCGTAGAAGTTGGGGAAAAAAACACGCACTACCCCTTCATAATCTTCACCAACTATGACTTGAAAGCGAAAAGTCGCACAAATCATAGCTAATTATGAGTAGAAATTCCTTACGAAAGCTGCATTCGATGCGATTAATGGTTTCAGAGATATTCACAAGAAACTTTTTTTTTTCAAATTTCAACAGCCTGTATCTCGAAAATAATACATTCTGGAGGAAAAGTTGATAGAAACTTTTTTCCATATTTTTGGACCAGCTATCACATCCGGAAGTCCTGCGCATATATTAAGAAACACCCTGTATATATAGGATTCAGAATATAAAAATAACCCTTATCTGAGTAATCTGGATTTGATTTCATTTCAGGCAAATGAGATATCCGAGGAACATAGTGCATCAAAGCAGAACAGGTTGACCTCGCAAAACGGAAACTCCAAAATAGGAATCTGCTTTACCGGCCAAGGCGCCTTATACGAGTCCTCAAGCAATGGCGTCAAACAAATGTCCAACGGGTACACATCTTCGGAATCGGCGGACAATCTGAGAAACAGGGTGTACATTGATCAAAATGGTTCGAAATCATAGGACTCGAAGTTGAATTTAGATTTACTTAGACATAAATTGGAATCATCTTTTAGTCATCACATACGAGAACAGGCATCTGTCATGCATGAACTTTTCTCTTGATGGGAAAATTGGATATTATGCACGATGTCTTTTTATGTACATATAGTAATTGACATCCTGAGAAGTAGGATATGGCTTTGCCTCACGGCAGTTCTTCGTTTTTGAAGAATCTCATATAGATGGTGCCAAGCAAAGAGTGGAATAATTGTATTTTGAGACATGTTCCCAATATGCCTCTCGATCATCAATTATATTCAACATATCAATTATTGTAAGATTTGTTTTGATTTAATAGAAAACAATTATGGTTATATCCATCGTAAAATATGATGGAAAAATTTTCAGTATCAAACTTTATGGCGATTACGAAGAAGTAACCTTATTTATTTCCTTCTTCTATCAATTTTATAACTGAACGACTCTATTTTACTACTAACTAAGCCAATTTGTCGAATCAACACGTGTTTCGCTATCGATCGAATCATTTATCGATAGAGTTTTGGAGTAAGTAATCTGAAAATATATTGAAAATATAATTCAATATGGGTACACCATGTATAATCAGTAGAACCTCGATTATCTGTGCTCAACAAGACCGGACGTTGCACCCCACTGAAGCAAAATTTGGAAGGTTTGTTGATGCCAGGTTGTAGGAATTACTGAAATGGACGTTCAGCAATATTGCGAATGTAAATTTGTGAATGTAACGATCCAGAAATATCACAGCAGCATGTAATATTGCTGCAACGTTTCATTAGCAAACTTCATCTTTGCAATATTCGTGAACGTCCGTTTCAGTAATTGCTTCAACATTGCATCAACATAGCTTTCAATTTTGCTCAGTGGGACGGATAACTGAAAAGCACGGATAATCCGAATATTTGTTTTTCATATAGTATGCATGGTTGTACATTGTAAATATATGTATGTATATAGGTATCTACATACTAAAAACGTAATGGAAAAATTATAGATCTCATAAGTTCAAACTCACGGCGTATTTAGACCACTGACGGTATCCCAAAACAAGGACAAACATCCGATGAATTCACATGTTTTTGATTTTTTGAAATATTGTTAGTAGTGTGAAATGTTACTTCGCCAAAAAAAATTCTCGTGTAATCATAAGTAAAAATAACATGGATACCTATAGGGGGTTGGGCTCTATAATTGATTTCTTGACATTCATGTAAATAGGGAAGGAGAATTCGATTCTTTAAAATTCGCTCAAAAAACACATCATGGTGTTCTGATATCTTAGATTAATATGGAATTGTGAAACTGAAGTGGGATAAAGATTTAAATTTTGTAATATAAGAGGTGTGTCGATATAATTTCATTATTTATTATTACAAACAGTTTTTTTCAGTTTCGATGATGTATATTAGGTACAAGGTGTAATAAGTGAGTTGGTGATATATATTTATTTTTATAGTGCGCAGAAATTCACCTCGACCAAATGTTTGTGTTGATTTTCTAATTCGACCTACAGAATGAATTAATAAATATTTTACGATATGGAATCGCTTCATTTTTATTTTCCCCTCAATTTCATCTCTTCTTTGTAGCATGATATTGATGTTTTCTTCTTGAATCGATTGTCAGTTGGCATAGTGCAACTGATTGGCCTTGGCAAGCCGAAACAGTCTGCCTTGATTTGTGAATACTCAGAGACAGCTTCTTTTTATCGCTTGGAGCGCACGAGAGGAAATCAAAGAATACCGTGCGTTCCTAGGGAGGATAGGGACAGGAGGTGGGTATTGGAATTTTTTTTGAACTTCTGGAGATTATATGTTGTTGGGAATACTTCCTCAGGCAATGAATTCCAGAGCCTAGCCAGCCGTTCTATGGATGAAGGAGTTTTGATAAAGTGATGTTCGACATCTTTCAAGGTTGACAAAGGAAGGATGTGCTGACTGGGCTTGTCTAGTTCGTCTGATAGCAGAGATTTCCGAAGAACATTTCCCATGGAAGTATGGATAGAAGAGTGAAAGGTCGCCGACCTTTCCACGGTGTTCTAATGATGTCAAAGAGTGAGTGAGTGTGGCGTCACCCACCAGCAGGCGGATGTCTCTTCTCTGGATGGAATCTAAGAGCATCAGCGTGTGTTTTGGTGCTGAACCCCATATGTGGAAACAGTATTCTAGAACAGTAGTGAAGAAGAACGATTCCTCGAGTCGAAGACATAATGATGTGTTCTATAGATAGTAGTGGAAAACCTAATCTATCAACAACGGTACAGAATACTATTCTTGTCTCGTTTTTTTATATCCCACTCGATGCTGAAGCATTTCGAGAAATAATAAGCCTCTTATTTTCTCTGACTCCCACTCATCAACGGAGGAGAAAAAAAAAGGAAGTTTTCAGCAACGCTTTTTATATTTTCAACTCCGCTGGGAATGAGAATGTCAATTTTCAATATACAGGGTGATTCACATAAGAACCGACATAGAGCAGGGGCATGTAGGGGGTCCCAAAATATGGCAATTTAACGCAACTCACCTCTATACCAAGTTGCTTCCCTAAGAAGATATAGGCTTTGAAAGTGAAGTATCATGAAATCAATATCTCCGTTATTCTTGAACTAAAAGCAACCAAATTCGGTACACTTTGTGGATGTATTTAGGGCGTTACTTGACAGTAACTAGAGTTTGATTGAAATTTGTAAAGGGGGTATACCGGGTGGCGCACCATTAATATTCAACATAATTTTGTTAACACTTGATGGATTTCAAAAATCTTTGCTTTGTTTTGTGGGCAATTCAATTCTTAAACTTTTCTTACTCGAGTAATTTTTCGAAAAACCTCATCGTTTTCATCAAAAACTCGAATAAATGAAAACGCGCGCTCTAGGTGTGTTATTTAAAATCATCGAAATTTCAAAAGTTGGCTATGAAAATAAACGTCAAACTTGACAATGAGGTAAGTGAGCTGTTCAATTAAGTAATTGTTGTTTGAGTGTTTTTAAAACGAACGGGAAGTTTTCTTTTAACGAGCAAGTTGACATGCTGTTAGTGTTATGCCTATAACTCCTTAGGGAAGCAACTTGGTATAATAGAGGTAAGTTGCGTTGAATTGCCATTTTTTGGGACCCCCTACATGCCCCTGCTCTATGTCGGTTGTTATGTGAATTACCCTGTATAAAGGAAAAATATGTTCTGTATTGTTTTGAACATGCCTCATTTCATCCATATATTTTCTGCAGTTATGTAGATTGTGATTATGATCATTAGTAAACTATAAGTGCTTCAATAAATTCGGGTTATTCATCGATACCATCAAATCTCGTACTACTAACGTTATTGAATAGTAATGTAAGGTAAATTGTTACGTTTTGATTCTTGTCCCATTCGTGTCTCAAAGACCGTTTTAGAGTAGAGTTAAATATGATTCCAATCTGATATGTTAACGAAAACGACTTTGTTATAGCAAAAGTACTTTCCATTACGGTTACTATAATGAAACGGTGATAATTCATATAACATCACTGGAAACTGCTTTCTTGAAGCGAAAGTACTTTCCTTATTGGAGTTACTACAATGAAACCATAATGTAAGCAGTTTTTCTCCTCATGTGTTTCGAGATGTGAAAAGTACATTGTATTATACAAGGTGTTTCATTACACTTCAAGGTTCGATTTTTGGGCCAAAATATGAAAAAAAAAAAATCATATAAACATAATATATGCCCGAACACGATTTGTTTCTGAGATACAATCAGTTCAATCAGCATGTAACTATCTCGGAAACGAATCATTTTCGGACATACTTGTATTTATAGGAACTTTTTATATTTTGACACAAAAAATCTGATCTTGAACATTCATACAATATTAATGAAACACCGTGTATATTAATTTGTGAATTTTCAATTGCTTTAGCGAGGGACCAAAACGAACGGAAACCATTTGGTCAACCAATGAGTTTTCATCTTATTTTGGCATTGTATGATTCATTTGATGCATCATTCGCTTTGCCGCAGTTATTCCTGGCTTTAATATAATCTGCTCTAGTAACGAGATTAGGGTTTTTGCGCCAACGATGATATGCTGTTTGTTTCAAGCCAACAGTTTTAGAACAGTTCTTGTTCACCCAAGGTTTCGAATGTGATGATCATTTCGAAGAATAAGGTATGTATGTGTCCATTCCAAGCGCGATGTTCTCAGAAATTTCCGCAGCACACTGTGACGAACCCTCAGAATCAATAAATATTCTACGCCAACTCGGAGAAAAACATGAGAACACAGTCCGAGTCTCCTGAGTTATACTGCTACACAAGAGACGGGGGTTGCTGGATCAGTTGATGGAATGAAAAATGGGCAGGTTGTAGAGATGGATGTGTGGTTGAAATTGCCAAGTGGGGCAAGTACATTTATGGTGTAGGGGACTGAATTATAAGTGAGGGACAAGTCAAGTGTGTTGGCTGAATGGTTATTGACATCGGGAATTCGTGTGGGTTTCTTGATGAGCTGCTCTAAGCCGTGAGTGATGGCGAAAGCATCAGCTTGTCGCCCAGCTTCATCCGTTGGAGTGTACGAACCAAGCAGTGTTGTGTACATAGAAATCACCCATGATGATGATTTCTGCTGCTGGATGGCTCTGCTGAATTAGGTCATGCTTCAGGGACAATAAGAACTCGAAGATCTCTCCATAGGATGGATCATTTGTTGATAAGTAGAGACAACAAAGATATTTGCTCTGCTTCGGCTATTGAATTTGAACCACATAACATCAAACTTATTTGGTTCCAAAGTTTGTTCTCGATGACATGAGAGATTTGTTATGGCATAGAGAGGCTGAGACCTCCCTTGAACCTGAACCGTGTGTGGAGCTCATACCCAGGACAGAGCAAATAGGTGGTGTTGGTGAATGAAATGACCTGTGTCTCAGTTAGGGCCAATATGTCTGGCTTTTCAGTTTTTAAGTGTCGATGGACATCGTTGATATACTTACATAGACCACGGATGTTACTTTTTTTTGTGTTCTGATGGTTCCCACGAAAAGGGATATCCTGTAATGTTCAGAGAACATCGTGAGAACCAAGGGAAATAAAGTAGGAATTGGTGTTCTTCTTGAATTTCTGGAGGTTATATGCCTCGGGAAACACCTCCTTTGACAATGTGTTCCAGAGCCTAGCTGCTCGTTGGATGAACGAGTCTTTGGAAAGAGATGTTCTGCAGGTCTCCAAAGTGACCACGAAGGGGTGCGAAGCCTCAATTCGACGGGTTGATCTCAACAATTGTTGATATTTCAGAAGAGCATCGTCCATGAAAATATCTATAAAATAGAGCCAGATCGCCAACTTTTTCACAGTGTTCCAGAGAAGTGAGTGGATTTGTGAGCGAGGCATCACCCACGAAACGAATTGCCCTTTTTTGGACAGAATCCAACAGTTTCAGGTTATATGTTTGGGTGCTGCACTCCAAATATGGGAACAGTTTCCAGTACAGGTTGAATCTACATAGGTCTATCCTGATGCTTTTGTAGCCGACGGTGAACCCCCGCAGGCACCAATGCAACAAACTGTTCATCGACAGAATAGTAAAATGTTAGATCCGTACATTGACAGAATAGCAAAAAGTCAGAACAGCACATTTGCAGAATCACAAAATATTAGAACTGTAAATTGACAGAATCGTAATACCAATATATGCTGAAAACGTACATCGACAGACTCGTAATACAACAGACCGTATTTCATCAGAATCATTATATCAGAACGTACAATGACAGAATGTACTTTATCAGATTGTAATGTCATATACTGTATTCTGATAGAATCGTAAACTATCAGAACTGTAATTCAGCAGAATAGTATAATGTTAGATCCGTAAAATTACAGAATTGTAAAACTACAGAACCGTATATCGACAGAATCGTGAAATATAGAAATTATAAGTCAGCAGAACCGATGTGGTGGTATCGCACCGGGCGATGGTACGTGTTAGCAATCTTCCACATTGGCGTCATTTTGAGTCGCCTATAAGACTCAACGTGGGGTTATTCTAATTCGACCGCCACACGGTGAATGGAACAACTTGCTCAGTCGATTTTCAACACTCAATGACAGTCGTTGCTGTTGCGAATTCGATAATGATGACAGTACGATTGAATATTGAATGATATTTGTTCTAGTAGCAACAGAGCACAATAATACAGTTTTTATCGCTTTTATTATTAGTATTTTCATTCTGAATCATATCAACCGTGAGTGATATGAGATGAGCAATGATATGATTCATTTTGTGACGCGCTCACAAGACTTTTTTCCAATTTAATGAAAACTAGATCCCAACATTGTTCACCATTTATTCATTAATTTCTTAATCATAAATCAATGGTTATTTTGCACTCAGATGATTACAGCACTCGCCTTCGGATCGTTGAATAATATTATTCGGAAATGCGAGGAAAACGTATGAGAAGCAATTTTCGCACAAATATTTCAACGAATTCAAACGTTTTTTTTTTTTCAGAAAATCTCTGGGTCAATATTATGAATGTGATAATTCTTCTTG